TGTCTTCTGTCTTGCCATGAAATAAAAAAAGAAATAAAATACAGCAACACTCTCGTTGGAAAAGGCTTAGAAAGAAACTGGCAGAGTTAACTGCATGTTAGCTGCACCCTGCAGTCGCCTGCATGTGTCCATGTGTGAGCCCAGATGAGTCATGATGAAACACTCCTGCTTCTCATGTAGCACCAGCGTTACTCTCCCACAACTTAACGTCACTGAGCACGCCTGGGCACGACATCCACCCCCCACCCCCCTTTTCCCCTTCTTGTTTTATCTGGGGTTTCAAAAGGCTGGGCTTTTACGCATCATGATGCACAGGCTGATGCATAATGACAACAGTATAAGAAATTCACTAGATGTCACACAGAACAATGAGAAGAAGTGCTAACTTTCTTTGGTTTGTTACTGTAGTCAGTTGAGATGTTATCTAATAAATTTCATGTATTCTTGTAAACTTCTCCCAACCTGCCAGATACAGCCCGATACTGTTTTTCATTCGGTTTTGGAAATAGTTCTGGCTCTTTCAATCACGATCATATCCCAAGGCAACCTTTCCTCTTGATAATTGTTTACAGTTTATACAACTAAGAAATGACATTTAAGATTTCTCAGCCATACTGTAACATACGTATTAAACATATCTGCAAAATATTAAATTAGTTATACAGTATATAAGCCTATAAGCCTTCAGGGTTAATAGAGATGTTGTCCTTCAGCTAGAAGAAATTACCTAAATATCGAACTTCTTGCAATGCTAGACTACTTGTTACACAATATGTGAACAGTTACTTGAGAGTTGAATCATTCCAGTCCGTCACCAGTTTCCAACCTCCTGCACCTCATTAACAACTTTTAAGTCTGACATATTAAGAACATCTGCTGTGGTCTTTTTTCCCATTCTGAATCAGAAGTGAAGACGTATTAATGACTCCAGAACATGTCCAACAAAAAGTGCAGTCATTCAGTCAAATGTAGGAAGGGTGTGTGTTGATGTCTCCGGAAACCATCAATCATCTGTTGTACAGCCTCCAGTGATGGATTCGTTGAGCTGATTCTCTGCCAGGTTAAATCACAGGTCAAGTCACATTATATATTTCTGCTACACAACAGCCAACTCTGATATACTGTATAGCTCCAGTGTTGACAACCAATTCAAGCATTAACTAACTTATCAAGACAAGCCAACTTACTTGCTTTTGCAGGTGCTACGGACAGTTGTCATGGAGATGCATCTGTGTACATGTAAGTTTGGTATTTGTTAGTATTTTATCCATATTAGTTTTAGGACTTATCATGAAAGAGTAGTTTGACATAACTGCAGGTCCACTTACTCGCCCTTTACAATGCAACATCAACAAATGGACTTTGTTTAGTTCTCATAAAAACAAATGTCTTGACATGTAAACTTTGTTATAGCAGACTTTTTGGAAATGAATAAATCATAAAAAGTTTTGAAAGTGCACATAACACTAAAACTTGAATTCAGCTTTTTTCTTAATAAATCAAAGAGAGAATAGGACTTAAGGCTCGCAGATGTTCTCTTGTCACAGATTGCAGTCTTTCTTTCTAGACTATACAAATCTACATTTCTAACTGTAAAGTGAGCCAAACCTAGAAGCTGCAGCTGGACGCTGAAACTGACTTCAACATGCCAACTATTTCAGAAAAAGAGAATTGTTCAATTTACCAGTGTATTTTGTGTATTTCTGTATGATGTAGCTTTCATAAGCATCCCTCTTTATGTGGACCACACTAACACGTTCAGCCAGCGACGTGTGATCAGCTTCATTATTATTTTCATCCACCATCATCTTGTATTACCTCCGTAAATGATTGCAGCAATGATCTACACAGTGAACCCACTTGAACAAAGTACTGTTTCATTAAATAGCTGAAGCTATAGAACGAGCTCAATGACCTGCAGTGTAACACGGGTGGGTGGTGTGACGGGTGATGATTCACAGTGCATATAATTAAACTGTGGAATTAGGTGAGAGAAAATAATAGGCTGTTGTTCCTCCTCAGGTGTTTAAAATGACAAAGAACCACGATGTATTGAATAAATTTCCATTTCACAAATAAAATGGAAAAACCCCAACTGAACAAGCATTACGAGAAATTCTCATTCTTGACTCAAAATTAGAAATATTCCTCTGGAGAATAAAAGCCAAACAACATTACTGTTTGCCTGAGGGTGTGATTGGGGGTTGTATTGAAGCTAATAATAAGAAAATGGTTTAGAGGGCAATTTATATGAAACAAACAATAATATCAAGTGTAAAAGAGTTTATTGTTACAGTTACAGAGCCTGCAGGTAAAACAAAGATCTACCTGTGTCCATGAAAAAGATAGTGATACTTTCCTGAAGAGAAATACTGGCGTGGCACGGCTTTTGTTTCTATATAATAATGTGTTAAACAGCAATCAATTCATCCTAAATGTGACAATAGTTCAGTGTTAATTTGAAAAAATGTGTTTCTCCTGTTAGGTTCACTTTTTATAGGAGTACACACGAGGTTAACAGACAAGAAGAGCTGTTTACAGTATCCTCTGCAAAACATATGAGGGTAGTTGCATTGTTTTCACGAGACACATTGGTATCAGAGCCGTGACACACACAGAGCATAGCATTTCATATGTTTACCCATAACAGTCTGTGTACCCATTTGGAATCTGTTAAACCTGCCAGAGCCAGATAAAAAAAAATAAAAAAACGTTGTACGCAGTTGGCACAAGCGCTAAAGAGAGAATGTTTTCAAGCCTGATGATCCTGAAGCAACACTGCAAGATCTGTCTGACTTACATCAGACGTGAAAGTGATTAATTTAATTTGTCTGTAACTTTCTTTAAACCTATTAGGGAGAAATATTTGATAAGAATGTGGTTTCAAGAGTTGAAAGATGAAATATGCAGCAGATGTGACACCACTGGAGCAGAAAGAGGTTATTGTTGTTCTTAAGTACATTTAGTCCAGTCCTGGGCTTAGGTACAACTTTGAGGCAGTTGCACTTAACCTGAGTATTTTATACATCTACTCTACTACATTTCAGAGCGAAATATTGTACTTTTTCTCCATTTTACTGCTGGAGTTACTAAGATTTTACATGCAAAACATAAGACCAGTTCATAAAAATAACATATTGTTACAGATTAAATGACTATATATACATATATATATATATCTGTGTGTGTATAGTTGGATATATAGTTAGAAGGTTTCTTCACCTCAACCAGCTAAAACTTTAGAAGAACATTAAAATGCATCTCAATACATGAGTAATATTAATAAATCAGTGATATAACATTTAATAAAGGGGTTGCGTCTTTTTTGATTCTTTAAGTAAATTTTACTGCTAATACTTCTGTATACTCAAATAAAATTATACATGCAGTAATGGAGTATTTATATAGTGTCTTATTGCTACGTTTACTAAAAGGTCTCAATACTTCTTCCACCACAGTCATTATTTCATCCTGTTTCTCTGCTATGAGCTGAGGATGAAGGAAGTCACTGAGGTCGCACTGAGTGTATTCATGGTCTCTGAATACGTACCATTGTCACGTTAATGTGGTCGAACGCTTCTGATGATCCTCAAAGAGGGATTATAGAGTATTGTACAAGCCAGCCCCGCGACTTCGCTGAATTCACACTTCTCCAGGAGAGATGAGGGCAGAATCTGAGGATTACTAAACTGCATCTAAAAATCAATGTGGGGAAAAAGTCTCTGCCATATCAGCACTTATACTTTGTACCCTGAATAAATAAAGCACATGCGTTGGCATTCTCTCTAGAGGAAAGGATGTATTTAAGAAGCGGGGTTGACCTTTTGCTGTGGCATCAAACCTCCCGCTCGTAGCCCTCCGGTATACGTAGAGCGTTGCTTTAATGTCCGTAATGGCCTTCACTTAAATAACCTACACAGCAGAAATTTTCGCAAACAAAGGTAAAATCAGATACATCCATATTCAGTTGCAGAGCCCTCAAGTCTTCCATGCTTTAGGGTATAATATCAGCATTGGAAATTGGCCATACTTTGCTCTACCAACCAATTACAGCTGAGAATAATTTGATCAAACACAAGCTGAAATCAAGCGTTTTACTTGAATCATATTGACTTTGTTACATTTTGTCACCATCATATTTGCATGAAAATGAACATCTGCTGCATGTTGGAGAAGATTTCCATCTTTCACATCCCTGTAGGACAAATGTGACCCAATCTAGGAAGGTATTTGACATTAGTGATGTGCCACTTACTCATCAACTCAAACTTACTCACACTGACTGTACGTGCAAATGACTCAGAGGTAATTGTGAAATCCAGTGCTTTGATTCCACATCAGTAAATCTCCAGTTTGGATTGGAGAAAGATTTCGGACCTGAGGGGTGAAAAAAAGAAATAGAAAAAAGAAAAGTGCAACTCAACAGGTGGTGAGATTGTGCAACTTGGACTTGGTGACTACCCACAGATGCACTCGCATTGTGGACAAAGGCGGAGAAGAATGTCAGGGATGAATAACTGGTCTGTCTCTTTCACTGATTTCCCCTGAAAGCAAAGAGTGAAGAGAGAACTCCTGGAGGCTAAGCTGAATAGCCTTTTTAAATCCAAATCCTGAGAAAGCCCACGCTCTCTATGGGCAACAAATTTCTGCGTAGAGCAACTCAGACTGCTTGGTTTGAATATTTTGGGCTTTTTGGTAAATACTCTTTAATCAGACACAAAGGCATCCCCTGCAAATTTAGAGCAAATGTTCTGACACATAATCACATTCTCCACTTTCTTCTTCCTCTACTTGTCATTTGAACAGATTTCTACACGTGCAGCCATGAAGTCCACCTGCTTCATTCCCTCCTGTCATATCACAAATAGCGTTATCTCTATCAAATACCATAACGTATTGGGGGGGGGGGGGTGAGTGGCCCTGCAAGGCGTGATGTAGGCGTGGGCTTGCACACAACAGCTGACAGTCAAAAACCGGGAGGACGGACTGGCTGTGAAACACAGCTCAGAGGAGGCGCTTCGGTGAAGTTGTGCACCGGTCGGAGGCGAGTTTTTTTTTTTTACTTGAGCGTGTGCGTTCGGGGGAAAGACGAGAGAGCAGATCCAGAGCAGATCCTGTGCAGAGCTGGATCATAAACCTGCTGGTCTGGAAGTACCGGAGGGTCCGGAGCTGTACGAAATGAAATCTTTGTCGAGAGGACGATTGTAGTTGAAAAGGTGAGCGGTTCACGGCACTTCACGGATGTCACGGTCACTGTGAACAGGTCAGCGAAGTCGGCATATTGAGACTGTTGTATTAAATATATAGGATATATATATATATAAATGAGATTAAATGGAAAACATGCTGTTCTTTTGTGCGAACCCAGCCTTTAAATTTGCAGAATTTACTTCACCTGCCTCATGATTTTCTGTGGCCAGGAATTTCTCCGAGCTTCGATTCAGTGTTTGATTTCCTTGTTAACACGTATTCATTAAGGCAAATGTTACCTGTATTGCACAATGTGATTTTTTTTTATGTTTATGGATTATAAACCGGTAGTCCTCCTGAATCAAACCCAATAAACTCAGTTTATCTATCCTACATTTTATTGATAACAAAATAAACACAGATTTTGAGTGTTTTTAAGCCATACATACATTGTATATTTTGGTTTGTTACAGTGACATAAATTGCACTGAGACATATTTGTTTTAAAGATATGGAATGATATGAAATTACAGGCTACTGATAAAACCCTTTCCCTGTTTAAAATGTGGTTTGGTATCTCAGCTGCTGAGCGGAGATTAAAGTTTAAAGTTTAATCACTGATATGCAAATGTTACTTCCTTAAACGTGTAGCCTTTGAGTCATGAAATTGTGGTGATGTTTAATGCCAGAAGGATTGTGTGTTAGCAGGTATTTTCCATAGGCATTTTGTTTTGTCAGGTATCTTCTAATCACAGCTGTTTTCTTCCCTTGCAGTTACTGCTGCTGACAGAGAAGAGGCAGTTGTTTTGCTTTTCCATTGGACCGTTGTCCTCAGGCAGTTGTTCTTTCAATGTGGGATACAGTTTTGGTGATTTCGCCAGGCTGAAATCCCCCAGGGTCAGGACCTCCCTCATGGCAGCCTTGCTCCTTGGGCTGCTGCTTTTTGCAATACAGTCTCCCCCCGTCCCCTCAAGACCGATGGCTGATGGGGGGCCACCTTCACCTCCCACCTCATCGCCCACCGACAATGGGACCACCAGCCACCCAAACGGGACCCTCCAGCAGCTTCCTCAGATTATAATTATAGGGGTGAGGAAGGGGGGAACACGGGCGCTGATTGAGATGCTCAGCCTGCACAGCGCGGTGGCGGCAGCTCAGAACGAGGTGCACTTCTTTGACTGGGAGAGTCACTTTCAGAAGGGTTTCCCTTGGTATCTCAGCCAGATGCCGTACGCCTACCCCGACCAGCTGACGGTAGAGAAGACGCCGGCCTACTTTACCTCCAGCAAAGTCCCCAAACGCATCCATCAGATGAACCCTGACATCAAGCTGCTACTCATCCTCAGAGACCCCACAGAGCGTGTGCTCTCGGACTACACCCAGGTCTTTTACAACCGTCTCCAGAAGCACAAGCGCTACCAGCCCATCGAGTCCATACTGGTGAAGGATGGCGAGATCAATCTGGGATACAAGGCTCTCAATCGCAGCCTGTATTACATGCACATGCAGAACTGGCTGCAGTACTTCCCGCTGGAGAGCATTCACGTTGTGGACGGGGACGAGTTGATCAGGGACCCCTTCCCTGAGATGAAAAAGGTAGAACGATTCCTTAAGCTGGAACCTCAGATAAATGCTTCAAATTTTTACTTCAATAAAACTAAAGGATTCTACTGTTTGAGAGACCACGGGAGAGAAAGGTGTTTACACGACTCAAAAGGCAGGGCTCATCCTCATGTGGCGCCTGCCATCCTGCAAAAACTCTACCAGTTCTTTCACGAACCCAACAAGAAGTTCTTTGAGCTGGTGGGTCGAACATTTAACTGGAAATGAACCTTTTCAGTCTCAGTAGTTTGGTGAAGAGTTGCTCGGGGATTCATCTCCACGAGCTGTTCTGTTTTCCTTACTAACAGTGTAGATGAAGAGACAAAGCTAATGTAAATTTAAACTAAATCTATTTTTGTACTAGTACATTTGTTACTGGAGTATGATCGAGCCAAATATCAGGGCAGACTGCAGTTCATGACATGCTCTCTTATTGCATGTCTTGTTTTTTCTTATGCATTTAACTGTCTGTTTTGTACTGTTAGAAACACTCACTACTGCTCAGCTCGAGTGATTAAAGCAGGCGACTTAATATGACATTGATAATGACATTCAGACTTTAGACTGTGCCAGTTAAAGTGTTACATAAAGATAAGTAACAGGCAGTTTAATATTGTCATATCTTCATGTTTCACTTCATATACTATTACATTATTAACGTCTAACTGCATTTAGAGCGCTGAAGGAACCTTTACCTGCTGCTATGATTTCTCAGTCACTTTCAGGCACACGCCATAATGAATTTGTATTTGTCCTTTTTGTCACTCAAGATGTTTCTTTATGTAAGAGTCAGTTATATAAATGATCTGTGCACATCATATATTTGCTGATCATGACGGTGTACTGTAAATAGATTTTTTTTTGGAAAGTGAAGAATTAATACCATAATAAAGATGTATTTTATTTTTAGCATGTCTGATGTTGTTTTTTTCATCTTGTTTGTACCTATTTTTATTCATCCATTATGTATCCGTCTGCTGTGCAGTGTCTACACAAATCCTAACAAACAAAGAGGATGACTCAAGTCATGACTTCCACTCAGTGAACAGGCATGTGCGTGTGTCTGTGTATAGGTTGCATCTATCACTGTGGTTTATTTGATCTCATTGTTCTGAATACATCACCTATCTATGAGGAAGTGGTTTTGAGCATTTAGTACGTGCTGAATGTTATATAGGATTTTGACTGCGCTGAATTTCCTGTGTGGCCACCCTCAGCATGTACAGAACACAGTGGGTAGTGGTACTGTGTCTCTCTATCTCAAAAAAAACAAACTCTGTTGTGCTGCTGTCTGTTCATCAGATGAGACCTCCAACCATGAACAGCTGCATTAATTATTAGGACAGTTTTTTAATTTTTACCCATTTAGTGTCGATTCTTCTATCATCAAATTAGGATTAGTGTAAGAGAATTGAGAGTGGGCAGATAAGTAAACTCAGCTTTGAGCACAATCCAAACCAAGAGAAATCAAAGTTGTTAAGTTGTTTATGCCCAAGGGTGTGATGTTCTTATTGAGTTTTTTTGGAGAGGCAAGGGATTATTTATTCAAAGCTTATTGCTACTTTGAAAACATCAGCAGCACCGTCTCAAAGACATTAAGCTCCAAAAACCTACGGTAGCGGCTTCATATTTGAATGTGGCCTAGATTTACTCAGGGGCTTAGTGGGACTCTGCAAACAGGATGTCAACCTCATTGCCCCTTAAATACAGACCAAAGTAATATTTTCTTCTTTCTATCTTTATGATTCATTTTGCCCTCAGAAAGCAGGAGTAGTATTCCCTCATAGTTTACATGTTTTTTATGTTGATAATTGAGTAAGACTATCAACAGCTATCTGCAGAACAGACTTGGCTGCAGGCGTAGGGGGGAAAGCAGGAGAAAGAGTAAACACAGAAGAGTATGTGGAGGTGAGGTGCAAGGTGGAGGCTGATCCCTGCTGTGAGATTATCAGACAGCTGCTTGCGTCATTTGGCATGTGCAGCACTAACACTGAACTGGCATGTTCTCCTTTTAGCGTTGCTTTGAAGGTGTCAGGTCTCCAGATGGTCCTAGAGCAGCGAAGACTGGAGGAACTCACAGGAATGCAGTTTCTTTTACTCGAAATCAAAAATACAGCAGCAATGTCAATGTCATCTTTCTCTGGGTCGAAAGAGGACTGAAGCAATTTCCAGATAAACCTGTTTTCCCCCTCAGCACCGCAGACTGTAAAAACACAGAAACCACACCTGGAAATAATGTAAAGCTTTATCTCTGGTGCTGGAAAGTGACAAAAGTACATTCAATCAAGTACTGCACTTAAGTACCGTTCTGAGGTACTTGCTCTTTACTTGACTATTGCCATTTTCTGCTACTTTATGATTCCTTTTCTACTTTACTTAAAAAGCACATCACAAGCTTATATAATGGATTAAATCATCTTGTTTTTGGCTTGCAACTCCTTATAAAAAAGCAGATCTGGTTGGGGCCACTTGTCACGATTCAGGTGTCAGCGGTCTTGTACATACCTGGCATTAACATGCGTCTTGGGTGGATGCTCAATCGGCTCACACCTCGTATTAGAACTTGTGATTGGATCTCACTTCCCTGCTGTATATGCAAATAAACACCTATATCGTTTCCCTTTGCAAAGACAATGTAGCAATGCACCGTGTCTATGCTGCTGGAAGTTAAGCGAAGAAGAAATCAAAACAATACAGACTGGGTTTATTCCATGGTGGACTCCAAAACAAACTAAAATTGTCCAAGATGTTTGACACCAATAATATATCCCTGTGGGCTTGTCAAAAGGCAGCTTACGCAGTCCTTGTGTGATCCTTGTGGCCGCATGTGGCCCAGACAACCTCTGAATGTGGTTGGTGCGATCAGATCTCAGTGCATCGTCAATGTGTCCTCAATGCGTCTTGGGTGCATTCACACCTGTACTTAGAGCTGTTCACTTGTGATAAGATCACAAGATGCATGTTAATGCCTGGTATGAATAGGGCCAGTGAGCTGTTAGCAGTTAAATCAAAGAGACATTTCCCTTTTAAACTTCTTAGATGGTTTCAATTGCATAACTGTTAAAGACCCAAAGAAGTAAAATAATCATGTATTTCACAGAAAGCAAAGATTCAGTCTAAAAACCATAAAAAAAATTATTACAAATTTGCATAGTACATTTTTTTAATGTATTTATTTTTTCTTCTTTCCTTCTCCATCAAACATCTGGCGACCATTCAGATCAATCTTGTGACCGTTTGGAGGGACGCGATCCTAGACTGGTAACTAGTAAGAAGTACTTTTGATTTTTAAGTACATTTAGCTGATAATACATCTACTATTGAATGCAAGACTGTTACTTGTAATGAAGTATTTACATTAATTGCATTAATGTATTGGCACTTTTATTGACATAAAGATCTGAATACTGCCAACTAGGCTCTAACTTTATCCATCTGCTGTAGTGGAGTTTGGTTTTAGCTTTTTTGTTTATTATGTTAAAACTCCCTGCTGCAGCTGCAAACAACACAAATGAACGTGAACCAAACAGTAAAGCTGCAGGCCATAAAACCGAAACAATGATGAAAAAATATTAAAAAGCTCCACAGAGCTATCACATTACACACACTCATTGCATCAATTATTAATATAAAACACTGATGACAGCAGTTTTAAGAACCAGGACTTGGACATAATCTAAAGCTTTAGCCCAACTTAGAGCAGGTGCTCTTACAGGAAGCTTTCTGAATCCATTCTGTTGAAATTACTCTCAGCAAGGACACATCTTCACTCTGCTTTCACTGTTTTCTGTCTCTAGTTTTCTGGGTGTCTCTCCTTCTCTCTGCTCTCCTTACACACTACTCAACATCAGAGTAGCATCTATTAAGAGTTCATGAACGCCCCATTAGTCCAGTCAGCTGTGCAGCCCTTTAAAGTTTTACAGTCACAGATTTCCCTTAACATCACCTAATTAATCTCAGCCACATAATTAATTTGCCTCCTCGCCCCACATGCAGTAAGAGCGGTAAACCAGGGCTGCAACGAGGATTAATGGCCTTGCCCCCCCCCTGCCCCCCCCCCCCATCACCACCACCTTCGCTGTAACACTATTTGCCGTAGAAATTTCTGGACTAACTTGGAGCCAGTCTACCACCCACCCCCACCCCTTTCCCTGCTGGCAGCCCACACTAGTTGTTCCTGAAGGGGCCTGTTTCCTCCAAATCACAATCAGCTATTCTGGGGTGTTTGAAAGGATGATGTGATCCGATGGAGCACAGCCCCTTCTGCAGTCACCAGGGCTGCCGCTCGCTTTAATTGGAATAGATTGTTTGTCCAGTCAATGGGTGAAACCTGGCAGAAATAACACATGCAGCCACTCTTCCTCTCTTTCTTTTTATCTACTTCGCAGCCAAAGCCCAGTTTGTGCCTCTCATATATAACCTTTACATTTGAGTCACCGTGCTGCATTTGAATTTCCTAAAGATACCCGGCAATATTGGTACCACTTCCTGATAGGACACCATTTATAAATGGTTTATTAACGGTTAATAAATTCTTTATCAATGCTTTAAAGATCAGTTATAAGCTGTCAGTAAGAATAGCTTTTGTGTTGCCAGATTGTTGGGTATGATTTATTAACCATTAATAAATCCATTAACTACAGTTTATAAACCCCTATCAGAAAGTATGCTACATAACTTTAAAAACATCATTACCTCTGTCATTAAAGTATTTCCAAAATTCTCAAGGATTCTACTTGATAAGAGGATATTCTGTACAATAAAAATGACTTTTAACCTGCTTTAAAAGTTGTGTCTCTTTTTCCAAACAAAGTTGGTAGCAGTGAATCATGTATCTCGCTGTTCAATTTGTAAGAGAACTAAAATTTTAATCTTTTATTATCGCTTACATTGGCATATTGATGTTTCTGTCCAATGTTTTATATTTTCATACAAAATACATTTCATTTGTGTTTTAGAAGAAAATCAAAAACATGTAAATTCAAGGCTACATGGATACAGTCACAACTTGATTAATGGTTTAAAAAAAAAAATTTCCTGCAGCAGACTGAATGCTTTTTTCCCTCAGATGGTTAAAATTGTCCTTGAGGAGTTTGGAAATATCTTCAGAACAACAGTAAGTGTGTTGTGAAACAACCTTCAGGGTTTTTCAAAGTGTGCTGGGTATTTATTTTTAGGGAAGTGTTTAGCTCAGAGACTCAAATGTAATGTTAGTACATGGGGTGGCACAATTGGTGAATTGTGAATGGCTAAATTGGTAATCAGGTACATCTATTTTTCAGATGTGTTTGGACGCTTTCTTGCAATGTATAATCACTTTTTCCATGTGACTGTTTTTTTTTGTCCTCTTGCTTCTTGCTGCATCTTGCTTGGTTTATTACAGGACTGCTAACCCTAACCCTGTGCACTGACTGTCAATCCAGGTGTCGTCCACAGCTATAAAAGATGAAACACTGAAAATAATAGATCACACTCTTGTACTGCATTTGCAGGAAGCTTTTATACAGTGTTGACATGTACACCAACCTGAGATAATGCTGCTTCTTTATGATCCAGGTAACCTTGAAAACCACAACGTACCAGGTACATGAAAAGATTCTCAGAAACCTGTAGTCTACATTTTATCTGCTGCCTTGACAAGCTTTGATTAAACCACGACACAGAAAACAGTGAATCGAAGAATGTATCGTTTAATCAGAGTAACAGCATGCTGGGTTCTGTCAATTTAATTCAGCATTAAATGAAAAACTGACCATGTTTGAATTGAATGTAGCGGTGAGCAGCTTTGTTCGTAGCTGCTGTTCACCATTAGAAGGTCTAATAATGAGAAGATCTAGTCTTTTGACTCTGAATAAAGGAGTCTGATGAAGAGCAGTGGTCCATTCAT